TGGTTGGCACTGAAAATAGGGAAAAAGTGAATTAGCTTTTACAGTATTATCTTTGTATAATGCATCATCCTGCATGTTAAACTCTTTAGTTACAACTATTAGCGTCTGATTTAGAAGTGTAATAGAAAACTACAGGTTCAAATATTTATCTAAACCTTAAAGCTTTTTCAGAATATTGTTCCTGTAGTCTTCAGGTTCGTGTGTCTGTCCAGCTTCAATATACTGTGATTGATTGCCTTGTGATTCTGGTGGTATTTTGGATTAACGCATCTCCTTTCTTGCTGAATTTTTCTCCTTCAGATGTTCATAACCACTTTTTAAATGCATCTTATATCTTTATTTTGTGAGGCAAAGTAAGCCAGATAGTTTCCTTAGACTTTTCATGTCCCTGATCACTGAAATAGTTTGTTATTGCACCAAGTAAAATCTTGAATTCCTATGCTGTTATTCTTAAGTGCGATTTCACTTTTTCTGTGGGAATTTAAAAAGGGAAAATGTAGTAGTGTGAGGAAAATTGACTGTAGTCTTTAATGTTTGATTTCTTAATTTAATTTGGTAAGTACAAGATAAACCAATGGTACTTGTTTTTAGCGTCATTTTTGGTTTTTTTTGCAGATTTGGGTGTTGACTCTAGGTGTTGATTCTTATCCTTTCCCAGAAGTCTTGACTCCTGATTGATGCAGTTGCTTTCAGATTCCCATTTCATAGCATGTTACTTATTTTTGTAAACTGGAGACAGTACATAATTTTTTCCCAGATGCTATGCAGATAACACAAATTTCTTTAGAATATGGGGTTTTCCTGCTGTTTTACAACTGTTGAGAAATAGTTTCTTACCAAAGAAGGCTTCAAAAGAACCTTATTGACTCAATAATACACAAAAGCCCAGTCCAGCCTTTTCTGTGTGTTGGTTCAGTTTATTTGGTGCAGTGCTCTTATTTCAGCTGCAAATGTGGCTTGAAGTAGATGGCTGAGGAATATTTATGACAAATATCTTCACTGTACATCATCTGGAACCAGCTGTTCATTATTCCTTGGCAGTCACTGCCTTGTTATTGAGGATAATACTTATAGAATTAAATTTTGTTTAATTGAATATTGGATTAATTTCTGCATGTTACTTAAAGCAAAATTCTTTAGACTTCTTTGAGATCCCTCCCTCAGGATGTAAAACTTAAGAGTAGGATTTCTTTCTTTGCTCTTAACTATTCTATTATTCACAACACAGCAACATGTTAATTTCATCTAAATTTATGGGCTACGAAAGACTTCTTTTACTGAGGTCACTAAGGTCACTACACATTACTTGAATTGGTCACAAGAGGCTATTGCTGAGATGAGACAATAGTTTGACCAGTCTGACTAAAGGCATAAGTGTATTTGAGTGCTAATAGTATGAGGATAGCACTTTTCAGTGTATTTTTCTTACCTTTCTAGAATGGTGCTGCTTTGCTTAAGCAGCTGAGAGCCTGAGCCAAGTTAGTTTTTGCTACAGTTAGATTGAAAAATGGCAGATCTGTGCTAATAGGGAATGGTGGCTTAAACATTAATGATAAATTTTGGACCTGCTCTTTTGTTACCAAGAGAGTTTCTGAAAGCCCTGGAATTGATTTTGAATCTATGGTGTTTACCTCACTAAGTTTACTTCTGATAGCTCTATTAATGCTGGGGATACATCAGCTACTTTATTAGTGTTACTGAGCAGTGTTTGTGTGGTGTGTGTGCAAGAGAAAACTTGCTAGTAGACGTATGGTTTCAAGTCAGTGTAATAAAAGCAATTTTATGCTAATAGATGACTTTCATTCTGTTAAAATACTTTAAATGTTGTTTTTGTCTAATTTAAAAATAATAGATAATATGTATCTGAATAAAGTTTGCAGATGCTTTGGTCCATGCAGAATGCAAACACATCTCTGACTTCTTGGGATAGCTTAGGTCGGGGACCTTAATAGCAGGGAAATAAGGTAGAAAAAAACCTTTTTAATGTTAGAATAATTTGCTAGTTGTTGGTCAAGCTTAAGTTGGAAAACAAGCAAGAAACACACTAGTGTTGGCAACCAAGCTGATCATAAAGGTTTTAAGCATAGTAAATCCTGCCTGTGGCAGCAGAGGTGCCTTGCTGACATCCCATTCTTATGCTTTGTGATCTGTTTTGAGTTTATCAAAAATACCTTCCTCAGAAATAAGAATATTCTAGAGCGATCAAGTATGTGTCAGATCATCTGAACAGAGATCATGATGATATTAATTTTTTTTTGTATATAGGGCAAACTTGTTGACAACATCAGAAGGCTAGCAGCTGTAAGAATGTTTATGAAACCTGGTAAAATACGCAACCAGCAACTTTAAGTTGGGTAGGCTATGTCCTCTAAGGCAGTTTTAAAATGTTTTTTCCTGACCTGCCCTTTGTTTCCCAGTTTAATTATGCTGAGATATTTGTGTCTGTTCAAAGTTAGAAAGGTTTAATATTGAAAGTACTCTCTGTTCCCTTGTCTAATTGCTAGACCAGGCATATGTACAATTAGGTGAAAGAAAATATTTTCTTGACTTCAGTATGGAGTATCCACAGGGGCTGTTTTTCATGTTAACTGCAAGCCTCTGAGTTTGGTCAGGTAGTGTTCTAGAAATACATCTGTGCTTTTTTTTTCTTGCTGTTTTTTTATCAAAACTACTTGGAAGAATTAATCCTAAGAGTTTGACTTTTGATGGGCTTATTGAAACTTAACACATAGATTGTTGCTGACTTTGTGCTCTGAGTATTGTATAGTTTTGGCCCAGGTCTCTGTGTTTGCCATTTAAGTTTCTTTGTAAGAAAAAGACTGACTCATCTCACAGAGCAGCACTATCAACAGATTTTTAGAGCTTTTTTAGCTGAGAACATGAGGAAGACTTGAATCTGCTTTGAGAAAAAATTTTGCATGAAGAAATAGGCAGCCAGTGTCAGTGAGCTGTGGGAAAAGGTCGTTTTACAAAATACCTTTCCAGTCCTTGGATACTTTGTGATCACCCAGTCTTTTGTGCAAAGGATAAAAGGTAAAGATGTTAGTGAGTTAATAAACTCTTCTCATGACAGTTGCATAAATAATGCTAGGAAGGTTGACTAGTTTTCTAAAAACAGTAAGATAAATCTATTAATTGTTTCCCATTGTTAGTGGATTTGCTGTCCTGTACTTAATAGCTGATGCCCCAATAACTTGGTGATACATTGCAAAATCTTTATGTTCTTCCTTGGTATAAACCTAATCTTACCCACAGTTTTTCAGACTGAAGTGCCTCAGTCTGAAGACTTGATTGTTGTGTCAATCTTACAGTACTGAAAATCTGTCTTGATAATTTCTGAGGATATCATGATTCTTGCTTGGAATGAGAACTGTGTTTAAATTAAGGGGAAGACATTTTTTTTCTTGCTGGAATCTGCTCAGATTTGTTGTTTCTTAATTTAACATCTCTTGATTCATTTGTAAACATATGCCCTTTTGTATACTGTTGCTGAATGGGATATATCAGTAAAAATGAACATGATTCTTTTTAGGAAGAGAAGCCATTTCTGTGATGGTTCATTTATATTTTATTAGTTTGATATAACTGGAAATACTTAGAAAATTTCTCTTGATTTCTTGTTGAAGTTGGTTTAGGAGTGAGTTGAATGACTTCAGCAGAGTAATCTATAGTTAGTTATTTGGGTGATGCATACCTTTACCCGTGTCTCTATTTAACTATAATAATTGTACGTCCTACCTTACAGTTTAACTATGGTATTCGAGGTACTGAAAAACTTAAATATGAGCTCACTAAAATGAAACAGCAGCTCAACTAACTATCATTTTACACTAAGTTAAATCTAACAAATCTGTTAGACTTCGTTTTAGAAGCTGGAACAGTCTTGTCTGTCAATGGAAATCTGCAGTAGCCTGCAATATTCTGGTTCAGGCCAGAGAGAAACCATAATTATGAGCTACCAAGTTCAGATTCCAGATCTCTTACTAGTACAGCAATTGTTCTAGTTTTGCTGTAATGTTTACAGCAGCCATAGATTAAAGTGAACTGTATCTGTTCCCACTAACAGATTTGCATTCTGCTGTGCAGAGATGTAGAATCCAGGTTTATTTGGGCCTCCCTATATAATATGTGTGGATGTTTATTATGTTTTCACTAGCTGGATTTCTAATAGCTTGTATATCATACTTAAAATACTTTTGAATCATAGACCATTTTGCAGGGACTAGCTGCAGAGCCTGATTCTCTTGCCCTACTATAATTTGGAAGTGTTTTATCCATTTCTTTCCTGTCTGTGCTACATTTCAGCTTCAGGTGATATAGTTCACATTACCTTGTGTTCTCTTGCTTGTTGAGAAATATTTTCTTACATGTGAGAAGAATGTAGGGTAGTAAAAGTATTCCTGGGTTTTAATCGTAAACCATTACATTCTTTGACCTGTTTTCAAATTAGAGAATTTTACTGGATTTTGACACTCTGGACACATAGACTCTATTTCCATTGAAGCTAGAGACATTGTGAGGTTTGTGATGAGCCCAAGAATCTAGGCTTTTCATAAGGAACTTTCATATGGCAGCTGAAACTAGTTGTTAGGGATTAATTAAAAACAATCATCTTCTAGGAGGCTAATAAAATAGCTCACAAAATCCCTTCTAGATAGTACCAGAAAGTGTTTTAGCAAGCTAAATTTGCCATAGTACTTTGGATCAGACCTTATATAAGATGCTCCATCCCATTTATAAGAGGACATAAAGAAAGAAATGTTACAGTTATATTTTCATGATTCCTGTGATATATTTGATTTATGTAACACTTTAGTAATAAAATAAGTAATAAGAGATTTGATGCTGTAAATGAGATGAGGATAGTTAGATTCTAAATCTGATCTGTGAGGAAAATAATATGGGAAAACAGAAAGGAAGTACCGAACAAAAGACTGCAAGTGTAATCCACTTGTAACAGAAGCATGTAAAAGAATTTATTTCTTTTCTTCTGATTACAGGGACTTGCCATGAGGTGCTAAGCCTTTTTTCATTGATTCGGAGAGACTGGACCTAAATGGCGCAGCATGACTTTGCTCCAGCCTGGCTTAATTTTCCTACACCACCATCATCAACAAAGGTATGTTTTGCATTGTTCTTTCGAAAAGGCTCTCTCATGATTAGGGATATCTAAACGTCATAGCTTCAATCACAGTAAAAACGCAAATCGCTTCATGAGTACTGTAATGACAGATGACTCCAGTAGAGTTTTTTGCTTCAGCAGTTTAGTTTATTGAAAGAAGCACATGTTTGGCCTTGGCTGTGGTTGGTTTAAGATTGCCTTTGTCAGGTGTTTAAAATTAGTTACTGTGTTCCGTGCTAGAAGCACTAAGATAGACCATGTATTTGATGTTCACGCTTCTGATTTTTAGTTCTGTCCTGTAAAGTTTGCAGGAGTATTATTCTGTCATCCAAGTGATTAAAGCTATGCTTTTTTAGACTTTCTGAAATGCCTTTGCAGTTGATGGTGGAATGCTTGTTGCTACTGGTAGAGTGTGATGCTTTCATACTGTTAGGCATCTTCACTCTGGTTGTTTCATCTAGACTACTGTTACTTTATATAATAGGACAGCTTAGAAATGGTAAATAATAATCTCTTAATTGTTAAAATTTTTAAATATTCCTGGAAGTCTTGAGTATGGTTGTCTCAGAAATGCTTCTTCTTAGTCTGCCTTTCTATTCTTTCTTAATTTGTGCAAATGCAGAAGCAGAGTCAGCACTGGATATTAAAACTCCTGTCATCTGCTTCCCTATTTGTGGACCTATCTTTATTATAATAGTTAGAATTCAATATTTATATCTGCTCCTATGAGAATTGCTTTGCTTTTCCTTATCTTATAAGCTTTGTGCAGTCTTTCATGTCCATGGAAAAGACATAGCCTTGAGAAACTTATGGCAATAGGCTTGTGGTTTAAATGCACAGATAGTGAGCAGTGTTAGCAGTTTCTAATGCTTCGATTCTGTATGTCTACACAAACATAAACACGTTTTTTTGAGTCGCAACACTGAATGTCATTATTTATATCACTCCGTTTATGTCTCTTGAACCCTGACCTAGCTAGAATCTTTGTTTAGCGTAATCTGGTTTTGGGAATGTAAAGCCTATCTGTTCCAGGATACACAGTGTCTGAAAATCCAAATTAAGAAGCAGTCTCTTTGTTTTCATTCTTTGTGATTTCTGATGCATTCAACTCTTTTGATCTGATTTTTTCAATGTAATATGTTTTAAATTGGAAAAGTATTTGGAGCTTAATATGGTGTCACAAATGGAAAACAATTTTCACTACATATTTAAAGAGTCAGCTGCAAGAGCTTTACCTGCATGCTTTTTGTATAGCAGGATAAAAGTAAGTTCCAGAAGTAGTCTAGTGCCACTAGAACATTTCTGAGGTATGGGTTTTGTCATGTCATTTCTGAATGGTATGAAATTTTGTTGCAAGTATATTTTTTGGCTCCTGTTCTCTTCCATGATTCTTTGCTTCATGGAGTTTAATTAGATTTTCTTTTCTTTCAAAAGCTCCATGTTGTATGCTTACTCTGTTGTAATGTTTGTGTATCATTGTTGTAATGTACCTTATTTTCCTGTATTGCCTACTGCCTCGATGAGCATTTGTGATATACAGCATGTTTGGATCTTAACTGCTTGAAAAATCTGTTTGTAGTTCTTACAGAATAAGACTTGTGATTCCTTGAAAGACAGGTCACGTGAATTTGTGGCCCCCCTCTATATCTATATCTATAAAATAGACTTATTTTCTGCTGTATATCAAAAAAGCAGAAGAGAACAGCAGATAAGAGGGAAGGAGTTGAAGAGGAAGGGGCTGAGGAAGGCAAGGTGCCTTATGTTTCGCACAGAATGGAGCTGGGTGAGACTGTGGTATCAACAATATTTAGACTTGAGAAATAGAAGCTTAGTTCTGCTTGGTTAGTCTTTATATTCCTGAAGAGTAATCACTTCCAGGAATTACATGTACAGGAACCTGGTTCCCCCTTGAACCGTTGGTTGCTGAGATTTTTTTCCTTGCACAGCTCAAGGTTGGCATTATAGAAACCTGCTAGGTGGAAGCTGTGATAGTGAAGAAGCTTTTTAATGTAACATACATATTGCAGCTTGATTGAAATCCATCTCATCTATTGCTGCTGATTTCCTTTAAATAGCAAGCTTTTCTTGTCTCTCTGTCAATTATACAGCAAAATCCACCTAAATAGGTGTCTATGTTGTGTATTTTTTCAGGTCGGGAGCTAATGTGTTTGCACAGTGCAGTCTTGCAGGTGGGCATGTGGAATGGGAAGGTGTTATAAACAGTGAAACCATCTTGGGATATGGACAAAACTTTTAAGAAAGTATTGCTGTAAAAAGGGTATGGGGACATTGCAGATAGAGCCAATTTTACAAGTTCACTTTCTTGTTAAGTAGTTAGACTTCCTGTATTTCTTAAAATCTGTGTTGTTTCTATCCCTTTTCCTTGATTGCCTGAACTGAGTCAGATAATTTCTCAATTTACATAAGTTGCCAATAAATTTCCTTTTGATTACGAAGGTTACTGTCATCTCTGCCTTGAGAGGCTTCATAGATGGATACCTCCATCATGTGGGGAAAATGCAAACTGCATGATCTTTGCACACTGTTTAGAAGCATCAGATTCATTATAGCATGTGCAACTCAAACACGATGCATAAAATACTGTCAGTTATACTTTGTGAAGGAAAAAAAAAGTTAAATTCCAAAAGCAATATTAAGAGGTTGTTGTACGTAAACGAGCACATGAAACCTCTTCTGAATTTTCACCTAAGACTGGCAGATCTAGCACTTTCTGAAATTTTTGGCAGCTTAGTCAAAATCTGTTTAAGGATTTCCATTCACTTAAATATTTCAACTAATTTGGTAAATTTTGAAGTACTTTTATTTTCATAATTTTTTGCAGTTTTCTGGTTTTGCTCTCTCCAAGGAGAGTTTGTAAAGTATTTCACATCCCAGGCCTCAGATTGACAGGGTAGTCCTTGTACATTTGGCTTCTGTACAATTTAAAAAACATGCTTTGATTTTTAAATATATACTTATTTGTGTTTGAATTTTAAATGGTGAATATTGAACAGCACCTTGAGCTCTACAGCGGCATTATCCATAGAGCTTTGGCTATCTTTTTTTGTGTGTGTGATTTCCGTGGGGTAGGTAGGAAGAAGGAAGTAATTTCAAAGGTATGGCCAGAGAGAAGCTAAAAGGAAGACATGGATTGTGTAAGGCAAGATTTTTTTTTTTTTGTTTAATATCTTCAGGTAAGAATTTTAGTAAGGATGTGGTTATAGTTCTTCATGCTATTATCAAAATAAGATTTTAGTTTACTATTTTCTACTGATACATTAAAGATTTATTTCTTTAAAATTTCTCTTATGTGTGCATATAAGATAAAAATTTGAAGTATCTTTGTGAATTTGGACACTTCTGGTTCTAGAGCTTACCAGTATTTCATAATTACTTGTATTCGCTTTTTAAAATTATAATTACAAGATTAATGCATTATGCTTTATTTGGGTATAGCTGCCGTGGGTGGAAGTGATTCCTTGCTTTCTCTGGAATACATGTATGTAGTTTCTGAAAATCCAGATTAAGATCCCATACTTCTTTTCTGCCTTCCAAATTGTGATCTTCTGTCCTTTCTTACCTTTTAAAAAAATATTTTAAAAATGACATGCAACACGTGTCATTTGTGCTCTGTTTTGCTGCCAAAACGAAGTAGACACTACTTTTTACCTTGTGTCACAGGCATGTGACGTAGAGGCTGTTTCAGTGTCCTGGAGCAGAAGATGCAGCTTCCACTTTGTTAGCCCGAGAGATGATGACACAGCTCTGAATGTGAGGACTGCTGCATTGTCTGTTATTCAAAGTTCTTGTAAGGATGAATTTTGTATACCGTGAGCAATGTGCATGTTACACTGCTGATGATTAAGTTTTGTTCATAATCAGATCTCAGGTCTACCACTTATGCTTCCTTTCAGTCATCGCTGAATTTTGAGAAACATTCTGAAAATTTTTCGTGTACAGAAAATCGTTACGAAGCAAATCGCAGAAGACACAATTCTTCAGAGGGGTTTGATCCTAACATTGGAAGGTCAAATGGAGGTATAATTTATGGAACACTGTGAATATGTTTGCATCATTTCTTTGTAGCACTAGCTAGAAAGAAAGTCTGATGATGATAGCTCATCTATGCAAAATTCTTCTTCTGTAGTAAAAGAATGATAATGGAATGACACATCTGGGAGAGGATGTAAGCACTAAGGATTCGTTAAGCTAATATGATTCCAAGTGTATTTCTCTCTTGAGCAGAATAAGAGTGTTGATTAATACTCTAGCTAACAGCGTATATACATGAGCAGCCATGAAAAGAGTTTGACTTGGTGTAGCATTGGCTGGCTATCTTCTCTCTCTGGCACTGTTTTGTAAGATCTTCCCTGCTGCTTATGTGAATGGAAATGTGTTTCCTATGCTACTGTATCCCAGTGCATAGAGCTTGTGATTAAATTTTTTTAACAATTCTGCAGAGTAAAATATTCTTTTTAATTTGTTTGTAATTACGTTTCTTTAAAATTTAAAAATTCAAGGGCATTTTGGGCGAAAAGAGAGGAATGGTTGGCGTTCACAAGGCAGAAATGGTCCAGAAAATATAAACCATCGTGGAGGGTACCATGGTGGAGGTTCCCGTACTCGTTGCACCACCTTCCATTGTGGAAAAGGCCAGGGACTGCATGGGAACAGTGTACCTGATAATGAAACACACAAAAAGGAAGACAAAGAAGTACCTAACCAGTTTGAAGCTGAAGATTTTGTAAGTAAATTGTAATTACATTTAAAAAGGTTTTACTTTGCCTGCAAGTACCATATTGTCCATTATAAGTTGCTTAATGAGATTTCATCAGTTTCAGATTGTCATAAAAGGAATTACCCATAGGTAAGGGAATGTTAGTAGTTTGTTATTTTGTTTCTTATTTTATATCTAGAGTTTGTTACTGTATGCTTATTATTGTTACTTGTGTATTTAAGTAAAACTACAGTTGGATTCCCATCTGCTGTGGTATGTGTATATATTAAATTCTACACAGGTGTCTTATTTGAGTCTGAAATAGGAACAAAGTAATCTTGATGCCTGTGGACTTCTAAGATCCCCTGCTTTGACCCACAATTAGGATGTAATTGAAAGGATGGTCTTCCGCTTTGAAGAAACATACATTGCTGTTTTGCTGTTTTTTTGCTGTCACTGGGCAGTTCACGTAATGACATTGGCAGCTGCCTGAGAGATTTTATTGGAGAAGAGCAACAAGTGAGCATTGACCTGTTTGGTTCATGTGGCAGGTGTTTAGTCTGTCAGCAGAGGTCATGCTGCTGGTATTACTGTGATTCTTTATTTCATCCCACAACTCAAGAGTTACTTTTTTAATAATAACAAAACTTCTTTTCAGCCGTCTTTAAACCCTGAATGTGAGAGGGACCCAAACCAGAATAAATCTCTAGCTGCAGGTGTGTGGGGTGAGTATTTTTGACGTTTTTAAATGCAAAAATGTAGTCAAGATCTGAAGTTGTTTTATTTGAAATACAAGCCTCTTTTAGAATTACAAAGGTATAGATTGAGAAGACTTCAATATTATTACACTATCGGTATCTTTTTGTTAGAAGATAACACTTCCAATATGAATATCAGTCATTAAGTCTGTAGACGCAGTCACAACTAGTATTCTTTTCCAGAAGTAGTGTACATCTTTTTTTTTTGTAAAGATGTCAATAAATCTTCACCTTTATTTTCAAGAGGAAATGCAATGAAAGTTGTTCACCTGAATTAATGGTGTTGATTGCTAGCTCAAAGCTTTGGAAAAGAATGCTACTGACTCATTAGATGTGTTGGAAGAATTTGGAGAGAAACCTGGGAGAGCTGGAAGGGCAGGTTAGCTTGCAGAAATTGAAGGTCTCTTTCTGGAAGCAAATGTCTTAGGCTGTTGGTTGTGTTTGTGTAGTATTTGTATGACAAATACAATCCTGAGCATGGAGCAGACCTGTAATTTGGATTGTTTTCTCATCCTCACCTGATGGTTTGGCTATCACTTAACAATTCTAATGGGCTTTGTGTAGTCAATTGTTAACCCCTAGAAGGTGGTAGCTTTAGATGGCAGGGGTTTTAAAGTAATAAATGTACTCAAAATAAGAATATTTCTCTTTATTTGAAAAAAATTAATTAAACATGAAAATTTTTACTTGTCTACTTAGACTACTGCTAATACTGCTAATAATGAGACTTAAAAAGTACTTTAATTTGTTGATTCTTTTTCTCATACTTAAGCAGTATTTTTTGCACACTAAAGTAATATTAGATATAGACCAACCCCTCAATATAAATATCTAATTGCTGTAAACCTTTGCAGCATCATAAATTATTAGACAGCTTTCTGGTTTTATGTTGTTATCAGCTTTCATGTAATAATCTGTCTTTCAATAAAACAGTCTTGTTTAGTCATTGAAAAACTGAAATGAAGGCTGTTATTATTCCCTTTAGAATGAAACAATATTCAGGACAGAGGAGTGTTACAATCCTTTCTAATACCTGTTAAAATATACACATCTCTTAGATTCCATTTTACTTTGCATATATGTGATGAGAGCCTGTGAGTATTATGAAAAACCTTGCTATGAGGTTTGATGAGAATGAAGCTTACAGTTACGCTAACTATTTTTTATCATCTACCTGCTAAACAAAGCAAAAGTCATGTATGCTTTTAAGTGTTATGTATGCTTTTATAGGGTTTGTTGTTTTGGTTTTTTTAAACAGAGGATATAATGACTGTGTGAAGTAGAATTGCTTGCAGGGAGAGGAGATATTCAGTGGAAAGGCTCTTAATTCAGTGTTGGAATGCATGGACAAAAAATACATTTTTCCACTTTTTTTGACAATTTTAGAACTTTAGTTTTTAATAGACGTTCCTTAACACTGCTGAATAGCAAATTTTCTAGTTTGACAGCTGACTATATGTCTCCTAATTCGTGCTCCAATGAATGTGGAAATTTTGTCCTGTTATGTCCATCTGAATCATGGTGCTAGACAAACTGGTTGTTGCCATGCAGGGCACATCTTGTCTCATGTTTATAGAACCTCAGTGCAGAGCTCTAAACTGAGCTGTTAATAAATATACAACTAATTATTCTTTAGGAAATCTTAAGGGGAATGTGAAAGTCATAATCTCTTTTATTTGGGTAGCTATCAACAACAGTATTTTGATTTTAGAATTGCTATGCAGCAGTCTCTAGAACTGTGTAGCAGGCTTATTTGAAGAATGTATTTTCTTTCAAAAAGTGCAATTCCTGCATCGCCAAGCGAAATATTTTAGAAATTATGGTTGTAGAAAATGAAACAGAACTCTTGTTTTTTTCAGGTTTGAACAATATGTTATTTGTGGAACTAATACCGATTTAAGTTCTTGATTTATGCCTGTTTGCTCTGGATCATATGGCTGTCCAGTACTTTATGAAGTAAAATCTCCTGAGATTGTGTACACAGGCACATATATCTTTTTTTCTTCCAGAGTACCCTTTAAATCCTAAATCAAGGTCTCAGAGAATGCTGGTCATTAAAAAAGGCAGTACGAAAGAACTGCGGATATCTGGATTCCCAGTAGTGGGAAATCTTCACTCACAGCCAGTAAGAAATGGAACTGGCACAAGTGTTTATAAAGGATTAGTCCCCAAACCTGTCACTCCATCTGCAAAGGTGAGTATTGGATACCAGTGTTAGAAAAAACATGCCTAGAAAAATCATGCTGTAATTCTGAATGTGCTTATTTCATTCCTGAGAATACTGTTCCTAGATTATCATCAATGATTATCATCATTGCAAAATGCCACACACCCCAAAAATAAATAGAAACAACTTTTTTGCATTTTCTTTTTAAATTATTATTTAGTCTCTCTTTGGTTCTCATTTACCACTTTAGAGAAGTGCAACAGATATAAAAGTGAGAGTAAAAACGGTGTTTTTAACTTACAGAATAGCAGTACCTTTTCTATATATGATTTTAACAGAACAAAATTAGTCGTAGAGAGGTACAGACAGCATAATACTACCTTCAGAATTTATCCCAGTTATATACTTATAATAACTTACTGGTGTCATTTTGGTCTCTTTCCAACTGCAACTTTCCATGTGCATAATCACAGAATATTCTGAGTTGGAATCAAGTCCAGCTCTTAAGTGAATGGTACATATGGACTACAAACCCATGACCCTAGCATTATTACCACTAGGCTCTAACCAACTGAGTTATTCTCACTGGCTTCATCTCTATTTTTTATGTTTCAGGAAATTTTCTGTGCTCTTGTGAGAGCATATAAAGGATTAGTTGTTAACTCTGTAACATACTGCATCTAAAATAATACTTTCACCTGTTGAAGTCACATATTTCATTTTCAGTACCTCAGATATGAAGATCTTAATTGTTTTGAAATTTTAGTTTTTATAGAAACAGCATGAACAGTATTTATGAGCAGATGAATTGCTCATAAACAGCCTCTTTTCCACAAGAAAACAGATGTTTGCACTACATTAAGGTTGCAGTTTCAATTTGCTTTTGCTTAATCATTTTTCTGAAGATTCTTGAAAAGAATCCTTCTGTAGTTAATGACTCTTTACATCTCTGTTTATATCTCTGTCTAGCCCACACAGTGGAAAAGCCAAGCAAAAGAAAATAAGCTTGGGAATGTGTTTCCTCATGAATCTGCATATGGTGTTGGCAATTTCAGTCCTTTCAAATCAACTGTCAAGGCATTTGCTGTAACACAAAATTCAGTTAAAGAGGTAAAGCAGTGGCTGTAGTTAAATCTATACAATATTTATGCAGAATTGTACTAAATATGCTTTTTTTTAAACTTAACATGTGAGAAAGATGGAAGACACATCACCTGCCTTAAAGTACTGCACAGTTTCCTTTGTAGGTTTGTTTTGGAATAAAAACCCTCATTAGGAAATACAGCTTGATACATTTAAACTTCAGAACTGCTAAAGGTATGACATGTTTCAGAAGGCCCACTGTTCATTAGTAGTGCTCCATAAACCTCTATCTCTGGATTTACATCTACAAACTGTATATATCAAAATACAGATCTTCCCTCTGCTTTTGACTGAATATATGTGAAACCCAAAACAACAAATTCCTGTGTCTTTCATTAAAAATTTTCTAAATGAAAACATTTCTAACATTCTTTTTTTTTCTGACTTCCTTCACTAGTGTAATCGGTCAAATTCTTCATCCCCTGTTGATAAATCTGGTCAGCCTCGTTTAACAAAACTGACAAGAATGCGGAATGATAAGAAGAGTGAATTTTTGAAAGCATTGAAAAGAGATAGAGTGAAAGAGGAACATGAAGATGAAAATCATCATGGGCAAGAGAAGGTAATTTTTTTCATACTTACTGTAAACCCTGTAAGTTTCAGATAAACTATAAACTACTTTTTATTTTGCTGTAAATAGCTGCTAAGTAATGGTCTTGGATCTCTAAATGAAGGAGAGAAATTACCTTTTGATGAACTTAAAAACACTGTTTCAAGTACTATTCCTTCAGTGCTGCTTTGTAGTTTCTTTTTGTCTTTTGTCAGTATGTGTTAGTGCATGTTCATGACTTGGGTACTTGTGTATCTTTACCAACAATAAAAAGGGTAGATTAAGATTAGGCTTGGTAAACTAATCAAACCTTAGATGAATTTATGTTGGAAAACACCTTTAAGAATGAGTCCAGCCATTAACTCAGTACTGTCAAGTCTGCAAGTAAACCATGTATTCAAGTGCTATATATGTGTGTTTTTTTAAATACCTCCAGAGATGGTGACTTAGCTACTTCCCTGGGCAGCCCATTCCAGTGCTTGACTAACCTTCCTGTGAAGAAAGTGTTTCTGGTGTCTAAACTGAATCACCCCTGACACAACTTGAGGCCATTTCTTGTGTCCTATCATAGGGTTAGCCAACCCCCACCTGACCACAGTCTCCTTTCAGGCAGTTGTGGAGAGTGATAAAGTCACCCCTTGAGCCTCCTTTTCTCCAGACTAAACACCCCCAGCTTCCTCAGCTGCTCCTCACAGCACTTGTGCTCCAGAGCCTGCCCCAGCTCCCCTGCCCTTCTCTGGACTCACTCCAGCCCCTCAGTGTCTTTCCTGCAGTCAGGGCCCAGAACTGGACACAGCACTCCAGGTGTGGCCTCACCAGTGCCCAGGACAGGGGGACAATCCCTGCCCTGCTCCTGCTGGCCACACTATTGCTGAGCCAGGCCAGGATGCCATTGGCCTTCTTGGCCACCTGGGCACAGCCTGGCTCATGTTCAGCTGCTGCCACCAGCACCCCCAGGTCCTTTCCAGCCACTCTGCCCCAGCCTGTGGCACTGCCTGGGGTTATTGTGACCCAAGGGCAGGAGCCAGCACTGGGCCTTGTTGAACCTCACACCATTGGCCTCAGCCCATTGATCCAGCCTGCCCAGATCCCTCTGAAGAGACTTCCTGCCCTCCAGCAGATCAGAATTCCCTCTGATTTTTCTGTCACCTGTAAACTGACTGAGGTGCACTTGTTAATGATGAGTTCGGCGGGAGAAAATGCAGCACTCAATATGAATGATCAGCAAGTCTCATTTATTGGTAACTCTAAAAACACTTATATAGCATCAATAATTAGGCTCATACATAGTGCAAAAGCAAGCTCATTATTGGATATTTCATTTAAGAAAAGCAAGCTCATTATTGGATATTTCATTTAAGGTCAACTCCACCTAATTCCACATTCCTGTGGTCGCTCATCTATGCTGAATTCACATTCTTCTGATCACAGCATCCTGTTCTCAGTTAACAGTTATCACTAAGGTCTTCCTGACTTTGCAACATCTCACACTAACTGTACGCTATTGTCTAATTCTTTCTCAGCTAACTGCTGCATGGGAACATGACCTTTGCTCTCTAGCCATTCCTCTATATGTTAAATCATAGATAAACATATTAAACAGAACTTCCCCCAGTACTGAGCCCAGGGGAACCCCACCCAAGACCAGCCACCAGCTGAATATAACTCCACTCACCACCACTCTCTGGGCTCAGCCATCCAGACAGTTTTTACCCAGTGAGGAGTGCAGCTGTCCAAGTCATGGGCTGCCAGCTTCTGCAGGAGAATTCTCTGGGAAACTGTCAAAGAAAGGCTTTACTGAAGTGCAAACAGAAAACATCCACAGCCTTTTCTTCATTCACTAAGCAGGTCCCCTGGACATAGAAGGAGATCAGGTTGGCCAAGCAGGACCTATCTTTCCCAAGACATGCTGGCTGGGCCTGATCCCCTGGCTGTCCTGCATGTACCTTGTGATTGTACTCACAGTGGTTTGCCCTATGACATTCCTTGGTGCCATGGCCAGTCTGACAGGCCTGAAGTTCCGTGGAATATTTTTCCAACCCTTTTTGCAAATGGGCATCACATTTGTGAACCTCCAGTTGCCTGGGGCTTCTGGTAATCCAGGACTGCTGGTAAATGATGGAGAGTGACTCAGTGAACTGGCAGCTCCCTCTGTACTCTTGTGTGAATCCCACCTGGCCCAAACAGACCTGTGGAGGGCAGTGTTTCATACCTTGGCTGCTAGTTATCCTACAAAACTGAAAAGTTTGTTCTGCTTCTCAAACCATTTATTTTCTAATTAGTGTTCAGGTAGACAGAGGTTCTCTATTATTGGTCTAATCATAGAAGCAATAGCTCAGTATATGCACAAACCACTGGCTTTTACTAATTGAGAACTCAAAGGCCTGTAATGGCTGTGTATAATAGGCATCAGGTTTCTTTCAGTCTGAATTGATTTATGCAGTGCTTGATTGATACTAGAGAATATTTGTGTTAAATGCAACCAAAAACCAACAAGTTAGCATACATAGTCCAAGTGAAGATAAGTATTTTATTATTCGGAATGAGGTGATTACAGGCCTGTTTGCTGGTGAGTGGTTTAAAATATCTTACTGAAACAAAAAATCCCATAATTTTAAATCAGCCAGATAAACAAATTATTTTGAGGAAGAGATATTAGGGTTCTGAGATATTAAAAGGAAACAGTGCCAGCATACATTGCTCATAAAAGTGAGATTGACTTTTTTGATCTTGATCCTATTTCAGGCAAAATGCTATTTTTTGTAATGGGACTATATGACTTCGCTGTATGTGTTAGCTAAAAAAGGCCTGCATCTTTTCATTAGGTATTCTGTGACTGAGTGCCCTGAGATGGATACTGGGGGTAGTTTTGTTCATGTGTTGAGGAAATACACAAAGATTTTGATTTAAGATCAGAAAGATGTTAGGAACCATATAGAGATTCAGAATTACAAAATAATGGGGCAAATTATACTCAGCAGCTGAATCACATTTGCAAGAGGCTGTTTTGCCCTGTGTATTAGAATTGCTGAATAAATTTATAAATTTTTATTGATATTATGTGATGTATCCTTCAGGCATATAATGTAACAGCTCATTGTATGTTTACTGGGATATGTATTCTTAACAATATCTTGCTGACTATTCTAAAATTTCTGAAAGCAGAGAACAAGTGAGTGGGAGGGAAATGATGATGGTTTTGATCCTGTGCTCTGAAGTATGATTTCTCAAAGGTGTAGAAGATAGCATGATTTTCTCCTGCTATGGGTAACACTATTATATGCCCAGTTTAGGGATTTTGTTGTTGAAAAGGTGTCAGCTAGATAATGATTGTACTCTTCTTTGTTTTGGCAGTTGGTAAGACTTCTGAGTCTATTTGGCGCATTCATAAATAAGAATTACAGGTTGCTGAATGAGTAGAGTAGGAAGGAATATGTCATGTTTGTAGGCTAAAGACATTTTAATCTTTGAGTGACACTCAAAAGTCTGCTTTCCAAATAAATTTTCTTCATGGTTTGTATTTCATGGCTAGTAATTTACAGTTGCAGTTCACAACAGCCTGAGGAATGGGGGTTGGGTGCATGTGTGTAAGTGAGCTTGTCTGAATTTAAAGAGCAGTATGCAGTCTTTATAAGAGTTCATGACAGAGAATTTGCTGTTTAAGATATGAGTGTTGTGATTTGTCCCTTGGACTACATAAACTTGAGAACTCATATACTTTCAGACTTCTACTGACACATACAGTTCCGATATTTAATTTGGAACATTAAAAATTCAACAGCCTGTTGTTTCTGTACGTATGAGGGACAACTGAAGTATGTTTGAATTCTAAGATATGTGTGAAACTTCGCATAAAAAAATTAAGGGAAAAGCATGTGAATTGCTTTCTGCATTACTGAATTAGTGTATCTTAGGAATTCTGTAGTATGCAGGTACTGCAAGTGCCAGAAGGGTGAACAGAATTACCCATGAGGTACAGTTTCTCAATTTAAACTTAATTTAAGCTAAACAGAACCACTGAATTGCAGCACTTCTGGATATTTACTTGTGAATGGAATTCACTTTTACATTTTGTAATGTAAAACTGTTTTTGTATTTAGGATGATGAGTCCTTCAACTTGCATAACGGCAACAGTCCTCATCGTGAGAGAGATATAAACCGAAACTTTGAAAATGAGATTCTGCAGGAGAATGGCAATGCTTCAATTACACCTCAGCAGATCATTCAGTCTTCAGCCTTCCCTCAGGCAAATGTTCTTTCAAGCTCACTTGAGGCAGAGCATAGGTATGTACTTTATATAACATAAAAAATGTTCCTTCATGGTAACTGAGCATGTTCATAAATTCTTCGGAAGAATTCTAAAAACATACTTCTTAGTTCAGAAGTCAGAATCTGAAAACTGAGAACACAACATGTTTGAGTAATGTCAGATTTATCTTTTAAACATTTTACTAATTTAACATGAGATATATTTTTTTCTTAAACCTGTGTAATGACTTACATCCAATTTTTAGTAAAGTAAGTTTATTTCTTAATAAAGAGTATAGTAAATTACATAGTGTCTTCATCCCTCTGATTTTGGTCTAAGTCTCTGGGAGGAGCAATGTGTGTAATTGCTGCTTGTAGTGATAATACTTTAAATGATGCATCTTATATAAAACTCCAGTGGGTTTTTTGTCATTATTAAAGTAGTTAATAATTTTTATAGCTGACTTGTTGACACTATTAGTGATATCACAAGACAGTCTACTGGAAGGTGAGAAACTAATTTCATGAAAAGGACTGAAACAATTCTATTAGCCCAGTAAAGCAACTGCAGTAGGAGTTGGTAGATATGAGAATGATACTGCTGGAAAATCACAACCTAGTCTGGAAATGAGCTAGTCATGAGCTCTGTCAGATTTGAATGGTTTCTGGCAGCTACAGAATTGCAGTGACAGATTAGACAGTTTTTTGTTTGTTTGTTTTTGTTTGTTTGTTTGTGATAGTCTATACACTGGTCTAGACAACTCTGCATTTTGTAGTGCCTGTAAAAGAAACTTTGATTTCCTCTTACTCCTCATGATATGAAAGCACCCTGCTCTGTTCCCCTTTTCCCACCATTGGCTTTGGAAACAGCTTTGGCCTGGTCTTGTAGTAGCAGCATCACTGCCATAAGTGACACCATGTGGGATGAGTTCTGTCACTAGAGTGTTGTGGATGGGGCCAGGCTCCTCAGGAGGCTTGGGTGGCAGGAGAGGTGGGGGAGTGGTGTATCTAATGGATGGGGTGGAGTATATGGAGTTTACGGATGGTGATGGATGGTTAAGGGCGCTGGGTAAGGATTAAGGAGCAAACAAAAAAAGCAGATGTCATTGTTGGATTCCACTGTAGGCCACCCACCTAGGACGATGACACTGACTGTCCTTTATGCAACTAAGGAACACCTCTAAATCAACTGCTACTGTCCTGCTGGGGGCTTTCAACTTGCCAGATATTAACTTGGAATACCATGGCTATGTGAAGACTAAAAAAATGCTGCTTGCCATTGTAGGGAGAAAATCTGTGACTTTCAGAAAGAATGTTCTTCATCCAGACAACAGTTGGGCATTTGAACAGGATTCCCAGGGAAGTGATCATAACACCAAGCCTGATAGAGTTCAGGAAGTGTTTGGGCAGCATTCTCAGTCACAGGGTATGATCCTTGGGGTTGTTCTATGCAGGACCAGGAGTTGGGTGCCATGTTCATTGTGGGTCTCTTCCAGCTCTGGATATTCTGTGAGTCTGCGAAATCTTTGGCCACTAGAGGCTCACGATTTTTTCACCAGAAGATGGGAGTCAAATCTAACTCTTAGTTTTTCAGTTCACTTGTTAGGATTTCTAGGCAAATGTTTGTTTTGTGATATCCCAGAGAGGCTGTGTGTCCATACTGCCCTAGCCCTTTGGCTGTGAGCTCAGCATGGCTGTGGACAGATGTTATGGTTAGCCTTTTTGTAATTCATATTTTGTATTGTATTTTGGGTCACCACCTTAGTTCTCAGGTTACCTTTGTATACCTAGTAACAGTATTGGCACATTTGGTACAAAAGGGCTTCCTTCCTGCTGGGGAACTTGCCAACATGCAGCAATCAATCCTGTTGGTGTTAAGTTTTCTAATCCAAAGTAATTTTTTTTATATAGCTCACACTTTTAACCATTCTAGAATGGTGTCAATTTAAAGGGACAGTGGTGCTGCTAACATTACAGAATGTTGCTTTGAAGTTAGTTAGCCATTACCCTAAATTTTACTTACATTAACAGGAGCTCTGTAACTATTTACTTCACTGAATGCAGTGTTAACGTGTGAGCTTGCTTGCAGTAAAACTTTTGAACTCAGCTATCACTGAACTGCATTTGGCTTTGTGTTTTTCTCTACAGTGTATTCTCTTAGAGTTTTGGACGACTTGCATGTATTTTTACTGCATCCTGATGATTTGATTGCTCCTGCCTGTTAGGCTTTCCAGTTTGGTCCAAATGCAATAGGGGATACAGTTTCCAGTTCTGTTCTGATTTTACTTTTTAAGCTGAACAGTGCTTTTCTCCTTCTACAATTCCAAGCTATTGCTGTGGTTCTAAAAACAGTCATTGGTGGCTTTGGTTACCTGCAAATTTGCCCAGGGATATAGAGGTTTTTGTGGGGAGGGTTGTGTTGAAGGGCATTTTTGGATTATGTGTGCCTAAATGAAGTGCCTGCTATCTGGTATCAGCTGTGACTTTATCTTCCCTATTTTAGTATATTCACTGTTTCTTAGCTCTTCAGTGTTAACTCTGGCATACATTTTAGAAACCTCTTTATTTTTGTGAAATAGCTTTAGTCTGCTTTAACATTTAAGGTCAAAAGATACCTGGTTTGCCTGAAGAAGGTGCTAATCCTTCTGGCAAAAACTTTGCAGCAACCAAACTTAATGACTTCACTGTTAAATGTCACAGTGTCTTCACCCTCAGATAACCCCTGTTTTCACAGCATCTTCAGATGTAAAACTACTTTCGTCCTGCTCAGGTACTGCCATCCTTCTTTCGGAACTAGCCAAAACATGCTAATTATTGCATCTTTGTGTATCTCAAGCTTAGTTATGACAGGAGTCTTTCTTCTCCTCATTTCTTCCCCTTATCCCCAAATTCACTCCTATCTGTTTGAACTGAAATACCAACATGTGCTATTGGCTGAGACTCAATTGTGAAGAAGCCTGACACAGCTCTTGACATGAGCATATGGTATAAAAAAAATCATATGAGACTATTGCATCCTGCATTGGTTTCCATCAAGGGAGACCACCACTATTCCTCATGCTTTGCTCTGCTTTGTTATTCGGGAAAACCTGCAGAGTCCCTCAATGTGTCTTTTTCTCTTCATACTGTTCTCAGGGGAGTACATTACTGCTTCACTAACAGTTATGAGTTAAGAAAATGCATTCTTACTGTTCTGACACAGATTGCTTGCCTTAGAATGAAGTTTTCACCACATATAGTGGTAGAATAGGGTCATCTTTGAGGGACCTGAGAACTCTGCTTCTGTGCTTTACATACCTTTTACTAGACTTTGAACTCATATTTTTGTTAAGTGTTTAAAAAAAAAATGCAGGCTGATAAATCAATCCATTTTTACATGTCTAAAGACATGTGTATAGACAGAACTTGAAATGTCTGAGTGTGTGTAGCAAATTCTTTAATGTTGTCCTTCTAAATTTAAAGGTTGTTAAAGGAAATGGGCTGGCAGGAAGACAGTGAAAATGATGAAACATGCGCTCCGCTAACTGAGGATGAGATGAGGGAATTCCAAGTCATTAGTGAACAGGTAAGACTAGGTTAATTTTCCATTATATACTTGTTGTTGGTTACCCTAGATGCTTGCATTTGAGGAGGATCTACAGTAATTTTGATTATTAGGGACGTTGCTGTTCCACTATCTTTTCAGTACTGTGCTTTTGGAAGTATATTTGTTTCAAAAAAATAGGATACCAATGCTGACTGTAGCTCAGGCCTATTTACAAAGTATCAAGGGAAGGGTAGGGGATACTTCTGAGCAGTTTCGGTATTGGTGGTGGTGGAAGTTCACAGGCTTTCAACCTCCTCAGCTTAGCCTAAGGAAAGAGAGTCTTTCAAGGTTTTATGCAGTTTCCTTGCTACTCTGAGAGCTGCATTTTCTTTTTTGGGTATTGAGAGACATTTAATTTACTAGTACAACAACAACAAAGTATGAAAAGGCAATCTAGAGTAGATTTTTAAAAAAATTATTTAATTTAATTTTTTTTTTTTTGTAAATTGGGTGTGTTAAGTGTACCTGGTAGGGTCAGTGAGAAGGAGTCAGAAAGGAGAATAGTGTGTGTTGCTAAATCTGAACATTTGGTATTTCCATGTCTAGCCACACACATACTGAGTAGAGCACTTGGAATATTAAACTTTCAAGTTCTTGTCTTAGTGCACCCCTTCAGCATTATATTGAAAATGCAATAATTCCTTTCTTTTTTGCAGAATCAGCTGTTTCCTTTCTCTTCTTTGACAATCCAATTGCTGAGATACCCATTCCTCTCTGCAGCATCTCTTCTGAGCCCCTTCCCTATTGCCCTTCTTAGCACAGGTGTTTGCAGCACTGTGGGAAAGGGGACTGGATTGCAGGGAGAGACCATTTGGGAGAAGCTGGGGCAAGATGTGTGGGGACATGGGTGAGAGCAGGGTGAACTCTTGTTGACTGCAGGAGTTCAGCACAACTGGAGACATTGGAATACAGGTGGCTGGCCAGAAGTGAAGGCTTGCAGGGGAATTATCATTTGTGTGTACATATGAAAAGTTGTGGATCCAGCGTAGCCCAGAGGTGAAGATGCAAGGAGTGTTGAACTGCAAAAAGATTGTTGTGTTTGGCACTTTCTTTCTCTAAATGTGTCATGTTTTCACATTTCAGTTACAAAAAAATGGCCTTCGGAAAAACGGCATTTTGAAAAATGGCTTCATCTGTAATTTTAAATTTAGCCCCTGGAAAAACAGCACTTTCAAGCCTGCTCTGGAGAATGAGGATTCTGAGACAAGCAGCAGTGATACATCCGATGATGATGATGTGTGAAGACTTTTGTAACACCTGTAGAAGCCCATTTGTTCTGGTGAAGATTTGGGGATGTTTTGTCCAAAAAAACAATAATTAATTTATGTAGTAACATACCCACTACAGGAAGAATGACAGGACTTTTCTCTGAAGGAAGCAAGGAATGTTTTGTTGGGTGTGTTGAAAATCACTATAATTTCTCTGTAAACGAATGGTGTAGAATGAGGCCTTGGGTTGACCCAGCATTGACTTCCATCATTGAAGCATTTCTGACTAGCAGTGTGACAATGTTACAAATCAGACTTTCTCAATAATAAAAGCAAAGAATTGTGTAATGTCTTGCAAAGCTTCTGTCTTAAAATGTCTAAGGAAAAAAAAGGCAACTTGACACAGTGTTTTGCTTGCCAAGTGATTTCTTTCTTACAGTGGAAATCAACAAGTCCGCTTTGTACGCAAAAAGGGCAATGTAGCATGTTGGATAAAATGAGCAAAGTGCACTAAAACTCTTTTCCTTAACTGAGCTGTTGAACTGTTTTACAAATAACTGCTCTTTAGCTGTTTGTACTGTTGTCGTTGTTATTAATGACAAAAGACAAAATGTTAGAGTTCCAAATTTCTAGAACTAACTTTTAAATTGAAAGCTTTAAGGGGTGTACCAAGACCCTTATTCTCACAATGACTTGTGGGAAAATAAGCAGTTTGATTTTACTTTTCAACATGCAGAAAAAATCATTACACTGACTGGATTTGTCCACTACATGGGAAATAAACTGATTTACAGAGTATTGTCTCAGTGCATAGCATCATGGGTATTGTTTTTAAACTGCTAAGTTTGTTTGCTTTTATATTACATGTACTCTGTCAGCAATGCAGTTGTGCATTTCAGAACAAGGTAAAAGTACTTTCATCACCAAATCTTGCTTTTATAGCAGCAGAAGTATATGTGTGCAATAACTACCTGTTTTGCTTACTCTGTGTCAGACTTCTTTATGATCTTTATAACCTATATTGTATTATTTATAGCTTTATTTGGTTTATTTTAGTTCTTTAAATGTTTTCCACAGTTGTACAAGCTGTGTAGCATTAATTCATAAGTACAACTGCTCTTGGGGATGTCACATATGTTTCTAATATAGCATAGATAGACACTTCCCTGTCAAGATGTTTTTGAATTCTACTACTTATACTATTTACAGTTTAGAACCTGAAGCAAAAATATTTATAAAGTTGAGATTCTGTCCATATTTCTTTAGGAAAATACTCTTTTTATAAGGTGGCATTACTTTTGGGCCAAAGTTGCTATGTTTCTCTTTTTTATTGTTAATTTAAATAGATATTTCTTTTCAAGAGGTCAGTTTTTGTATTAGAAGAGGCTTGCAAATGTTGCTGTAGTTAATTTTGGCATGGTGTATTGAAGTACTAAATTTTAAATCTCAATTTAAGAGGATAAAAATGTTCCTTTTTTAAAAAGAAAACTGCCATATCTGTAATGATGTTTTTCCTACCTGCATGCTTTATACACCTTTCTCCTTTCTCTCTCCTGAATTTTTTTTACAGACTTTGACATATGGGTGTAGTTTGTTCACTTCATGGTTTTCACATACTATCAACAGGATCTTCTGCCTATCCTAATTATGTAGTGATATGTAGATGCACTATTTTAATACTAAGTGAAAATGGTTTTGCCTTGGCATTTCTCAAAGTGGTGTGTAGGCTTTCCCCCCTTATTTACTCAGTTCAGTAATAAGTGTCACCTCAGTAAATAACTCTCTGGGAAGTTAATATAAGTATAGAAGAGCTATGCTAAAATTGTATAGACTTCGGAAGTTTATGAGTTGCAATTGAGAAAATTATTTTTAGAGGAAGTAGAAGTACTAGTCATACTTGGTACTTCTTTTTTGCTAGTTTATATCCTGAAACTGGTAATGGAAGCACTGATTATAATCAGCTGTGGGCAGAGAAGGTAGCAGGAACTGGGCAGTGGTTTTGCTTTGTAGAGTGAAACATTTTTACAGCCTTCATAAATTTTCTGTGTGTTGTTTCTCCTCTTGTGTCTGCTAATACTTGTAGGTTAATTTCTGGTTCTGGCAGTTGGTTCTGCCAATTCAGAGACCCCTCAGAGGTCTGTGTGGCCCCTGGCTTAAATGGTTATCTGCCTGCTCTGTTACTTCTGTTGGTCCCTCACGGCAGTTTGGGATGGGTAAGATTTGGTATTTCTACCAAGGAGCTGGATTCCCTTATGTTACTTACTTATGACAAAGCGGAGTAGAGTATCTGTGTCACCTTAAGAAACTCTTATGAGAACTCTATTAGTTTTTTTTTTATTTTCCTGGGAAATGTCACTCAAAACAATGTTTAGTTTTTGTGGTATACATCCATAAAATGTATGAAAGCATTTTATTGTATAGTTCCCCTTCCTTTTTTCGGTGCTTGAGGATGTAGAGAAAAATGAAATCTGATTCTCTAGTATTTAACAATGCAAGTTTATCCATCTTTGACTTTATTCCTTTCCCAGGGCAATTTAGGTAATGCATTGGCCTTTTTGGTCTCATACATAAACCATGATCCATTTCCAGAATAAGTCCTCTCTTGATTTCCTGCTTGAGCAGGTGTCTGCCTTAAAGGATTGAGAAGCTGGTTACTAAGCTTGCCCATTTCCTTAGTGGGCACTAGTAAGCTTTGGAGATAGTTTGTCAGTGCTGGTCTGACAGAGAATGACTTCAGTCACCACAGGTGACTGTATGGAGACATGATTTGAAGTCACGACCATTTTGCTTCATCTTCCTGGCTTTACTGGCAGAGAACTATGGATTCCTGTTTCCCTCTTCCAACCTTCTTTAAAAGCAAAAAGGAGTGATCAGTCACTCACTGCTTTTTCTGATCTGCTGTTGATGGAGAATGTACTCGCTGCCTGTTGCTGGCAGGGAGGGTGCCTGAATTTATGGTGAGGAGCTGGGGATCCTTACCTCATCCAGAATGACCAGGAGCCTCCCTCACTGACTTGTACAAGGCCTTTCTCTATCTTAAGGCATAAGAGAAGCTAGTTATTTTTGCTGAAAAGAGTGTTAAAACTATGGTAAAGTTGTCCACTGATTCATATTGGACCCAGTCAAGAGTCTGAAGAAGATTTTAATGGTCATCCCAATCTTTGGGAAATGTTTCCAAGTGTGAAAGAAATTAATTTTTATTCCCCTGTTCAGTTGCCTGTGGGGAAAAACCATTAGTTTGATTTGAGATGGGGACCTCAACTTTAGTGTTTCTTTTTAAAAGAATATCTATTTTCAGTAAATACATTTAAACAGCCAGCTGCTAGAAACTGGAAGGAGGGTTTTGTCAAGGATGCCTTTGTTTTTCCATTTTCTGTTTGCTGCTAGGCAGCAGCTGAAGCAATTTACTCAGCTGCTGGGAACTTTTGATCTGATTGAGGATTATTGCACTTGAGCACCAAGGGTTACTGGCCCATTAGGATAATAAATGTTCTGACTAGCTGGTCATCTTTCCTCATGCTGCTGTTCTTGGTCATCAATGAGTTTTATTGAGAATGAGGTATGTCAATGTAGCCTGGGTCTCTCTGCAGCCTTCTTTAGAGGTATCTGGAAGTGCATTTTCTAAATTAGCACTGGCAGTGATCTGCAAAGCCGTCTGGCTG